CTCTGGTCTTCGAATTAAGTATTCTAGGTGCCTTACAAAATGTCAGCAATATCAAATATCATTTTTTCAAACAAAAAGTTGTATTTTGACTTCCTATGAAAAGCTCCGATTACCGAACAAGTCCTGAACATCTATGCAGTACTACGTGGGGCAGGTACCAAAAAAAAATGGAATTGGAAACTGCAGTCTGTCTTTCGTGATGAAGAAAACAACCGATGAAACAGCAGCCGAGCAAAGTGTCAAATTTTAAAAACCCGTAGTGTGTGTTCCTAACCAGAAATTTCCAGAGTGTCCGAGTGGATGGAAACATCACGACAGTCTATGCTATGTTCCGGTCAGCTGAGTTATTCACCAAAATTATTTTGATTTGCTGCACTGCTTCCCCAAGATTCAAAGTGATTAAGAGGATAAACTCATTAAAGCGGAATAGCTCTGTGTCTTATATCGAACCTTTCACCGCTGGTATTCCGAGCTGTAAACCACATAATCTTTCATTCTCATTCACCTTTCTTTTTCTGGAAGGCAATGATCCGGAATTATCGTTTTTTTTTTTTCAAAACATTTTATTAGTTTCTGCAATATTTCCTATATTAATCTGATTTTTCCATTTTATTTCTTTAACATTTTGCCAATTTTCAAAATTTTCCAGCTTATTTTTAGATTTCGCTTTACATTTTCGCAAATAATTTCAACGAATTTCTTTTAAATATTTCAATTGTGGTAAATAAGCTGTCTTACTGACCAGATCCAGATATGGTACTAAAGAAAAGTGTCTACAAATTCAGGACCAAACCATTTCTCACTCGTTATGCCTGTGGTTTTTTATGCAATTTCGTGCGTTTTTGCAACTCATGTAAATGCTCTCCATGCCTACATCCACTTTTCAAGATGACAGTGAAAACTCCGATTTAAGGTGGCTCTAAAATGCAGCACCACCGTCCCAACGGCATCCTTCTCTACTACATGAACAGAAAAGACTGAAGGCACTGCCAAGGTGAACGCGTATATTTAGCTGTAAAGAAAGTCGTTGGCGACGCACACCGGCAGCGCCCGTGCGATCATAAGTTTTTGCAGTATCTCGTGCTGGTACAAAACGGTTTGGAATCACAATAGCTAGAATTTATGACGTACTGGTCCTCGAACTTCAGAAAGTTAATCGTACAGCTACTACGTGCACTTGAGAATTTTAACAAATTTTAACATTCTGTTAAAATTTCAGCTTTCTAGCTTTTGTAGTTCCCGAGCTAGCGATTTTCCCCCTCTCCCCCTCCCAACCTCAAAACTTTCACGGTGCCGCACTTGAGTAACACGCTTAGCGAGGGGTTGAATTTGAAATCTTTAAATTGTGCGTTGGCCGAGAACTTCCCCCGAAAATTTCAGCCCCCCCAGCGTTTCTGATTCCCAAGTTAGCCATTTTCTCGTCAAAACTTTCATGTGGCCATAGACGGGGCCCATATTGTGTGAGAGTTGGTGCCACGGCTCTGGGGTGGCACTTAGTCGAGGAACCCGCTGGTAAAATTTCGGCTCCGGAGTTTGCCTGGTTGCCGAGTTGAAATACCCGGACAGACGAATATCCATACCCACACGCACACATACACACACACACACACACACACACACACACACACACGAACATACACACGCGCGCATATCAGGGGTCGTCGCAGTATGCGTTTCTGCTCGCTGTAGTGGCGTTATAACGCTGTACAGCAAAAACGCATAATAACTGTTCGTACCGTTAAACGTTTAATTGCTTCAAAATTAGTGCAGCTCAGGTATTCCATTTCATACCTCAACAATAATTTTTAGGAAATTTCTTCGTAACAAAACTCTGAAGGACGACCTACGTCTTTTTTATAACTTCCATTAATGTTTCCTTTTTATGCGTTTTTTGCAGCAGTGCAATGCGAAAAACGCATATTGACGAGAGGTTGTCTGTGTGTCTGTGCGTCTGTGTGTCTGTGTGTGCGTCTGTCACGCACTTTTATCTCAGGACCTATAAAAGCTACGGGGCTGAAATTTCGGGAACTTAATCTACATGCACGTACCGCCCCCAATCCCCAAAATGGGCGCCAAAACCCCGCCGTGGTACCCGAGTACGGCCCGCCAAAGTTCTTTTGGGGTCAATTCATAACTCGAGGATCTGAGAAGCTAGAAGGCTGAAATCTTGGGGTAATGTTCCCCGCCCAAACGGCTATTAGTGGACTCAAAACCAGCCCCCGGGTAAGCGTGGTACCCCCGTACGAGCCCCCCAAAATTTTTCCCGCGCAAATTCATAACTCGAGGCTCTGAGATGCTAGAAAGCTGAAATTTTAGGGGAACGTTCCCCGTCCAAGCAGGTGCTAATGAGCTCCTGAGAAGCTAGAAGGCTGAAATTTTAGGGGAATGTTCCCCGCCCAGGCAGGTGCTAATGAGCTCACCCAGCCCTCGGGTAAGCGTGGTACCTACGCACAGGCCCGTGAAAAGTTCCTTCCGGGTAAGTTACTGACTCGATTATGCTAGAAAGCTGAAATTTTAGGGGAATGTTCCCCGTCCAAGCAGGTGCTAATGAGCTCAAATCGGTGCTAGAAGGCTGAAATTTTAGGGGAATGTTCCCCGTCCAAGCAGATGCTAATGGGCTCAAATCCAAACCCCCGGATAAGCATGGTACCCGTGTACGAGCCCCCCCAAAATTTTTCCCGCGCAAATTCATAACTCGGGGTTCTTCCGGGTAAGCGTGGTACCCGTGTACGGGCCCCCCAAAATTTTTCCCGCGCAAATTCATAACTCGGTACGTACAGGCCCGTGAAAAGTTCTCTAATGGGCTCAAATCCAGCCCCCGGGTGAGCGTGGTACCCGCGTACGGACCCCCCAAAATTTTTCCCCTCGATAACGTGAGGAGCTAGAAGACTGGAATTTTGAGGGGATGTTTCCTGACAGTTCTGGCGGCTCGGGTAAGCGTGGTACCCGCGTATGGGCCCCCCAAATTTTTTCCCGCGCAAATTCATAGCACGGGGTTCTGAGATGCTAGAAAGCTGGGTAAGCGTGGTACCCGCGTACGGGCCCCCAAAACTTCTCCCGCGCAAATTCATAACTCGGGGTTCTGAGATGCTAGAACACTGAAATCTTGGGGTAATGTCCCCCGCCCAAACCTGTATTAGTGGCCTCAAACCCAGCCCCCGGGTAAGCGTGGTACCCGCGTGCGAGCCCGCCAAAGTTGTTCTCGGGCAAAATGATGACTCAATTACCTGAGAAGCTAAAGGAATGTAATTTTAAGAAGATATACCCCGCCCGCCTAAGTTTCATTCAGCTCGAACCCAGCTCTCAGGCATGCTTGATAAACATGCATGGGCCCGTGTAAATTTTGTTCCAGTAAGTTGCTAACTCAGGGGCCACGGAAGCTAGAAAGCAGAAATTTTTGGGGGATGTTTCCTGACAGTTCTGGCAGCCAGTCTTAATTTGTTTAGCTAAAAGCATTTGCCGAAAAAACCAATGGCGGTAGCAACAAAAACTGCGGGGAACCATGCAAAAAACGCATCTTCGCACGGGCAGCCCGTGCATTTTTCTAGATGATTTTATAAGGATTCTTGCAGTAGCTAATCATCAGTAGCTTATAAGAGGTCAAAATGGCGAAATAGAAAAAGATGAGGGATAAGCCGGACTTCGCTGAAGTGATGCTGTACATCGCTGTGTGTAGCGCCTTTTGTAGTGATAATGCTTTTTGTTTTGACGATGCAGTATCATCGTATATAAAAATGCAAATTTAATTTCAGATACCTGGAGCGTTTCCCTATACCACTGCCGAAAATATCTGCGGCACTTTGCGCGGTACCGTTGCTGCACCAAAAGATGGATCTCAGAACCATCACATATGGCGTAAGCGCCTTCTAAGTTTTTCTTTTTTTTTACATATAGGATGTAGTCGCTTTACGATCGAAACCTGGAAGGTGCAGTGGTCAAATGCCGTCGTTGGAGAAGCTCGCGCCTCTGCGAATTGCTTAAACGCTTTCATGGGAAATGCGCAACAACGTTTTTGAACATGCCAAGAAACTCGAAACAATTTGACCAGCCTTTCGGAGCAGGGAAAGAAAATCGCCAAATTTGTCAGGGTATGGCCCACGTTTATAAAAAAGCTATTATTGGAGATGTTCATTTGCACTCCACTTCTCTTAAGTGTGCAAATTTTTACGTCCGCTTAACGATCATTTGAATCTTAAAGACAGGGGCCTTGCAGGACTCTGTGATTCGGTAGCTGTTGCAATTTTGAATTACGATGACAGACTTTAAGAAGACTGTCGCGAAAAACCCGTAAAAAGTTGGCAAAAGAAAGCCCCATCACAAGAGATTATA